ACGATTCTGGTTACTTTAAAATTTGGTATGCTGTATCTCAAATACATTAGTAACTATTCCTAGATGGAAATAAGCAAATACATGGAATCATTAAAAAAAGATTATAAAACATTACTAAACTGTCCATTTGTACAGACAAAACATTAGCAAACATCTAAGATATCTTCAGCAAAAGAAATACATGTGTATTTTTAACCCTTTGGTATCCAAACTCTTATTTAATAATGAAGACTTTCTTAAATATATTCTTCAGTTAATAATAGGAAGAAACTATTTTTAAAGTTTCTACCTACATAAATTTGGTGCCAAGTTTTCAAGTTCAAAGTTACTGAGGATAGTTTTACATTGCAATTGAGCACAATTATGTTTGCATACATTAAAATGTAAAACCACCATTCTAGGAGTTTGATGAAGTATTTAACATGCTCCTGCTATAATTTAGCAAGGGAAAAAGACATCTGGATTTGGAAACCATTGGTTTCATTTGAAAGCACTATCTATAAAAGCAGTAAAAAAAAAATCTGTATTTTAATCAAGCTACTATGAAAAACAATCAAAATTCTAAACTTAATTTCTTAACAAGTCTGGAATGGTGTCAACCCACTTACTGTCCCTGTCTAGCAGGCAGAACTTAACAATTATTTCAGAAAGTGATTCCTCCATCCCAAAACACCTTAACCAGAAAATAGCCAAGACCAGACAAGTCTGCTGTGGTGACAATTAGATAAAAGGAGGCAGCACAGTGGCTCACACTTGTAAACCCCATGCTCTGGGAGGCCAAGGTGGGAGGATTGCTTGAGCCCAGGAGCTTGAGACCAGCCTGGGCAACACAAGACGACTCCATCTCTACAAAACATTTTTAAAAATTAGTTGGGCATGGTGGTATGTGCCTGTAGTCCCGGCTACTCAAAAGTCTGAGGCAGGAGGATCACTGGAGCCTAGGGGTTTGAAGCTGCAGTGAAGTATAATCATGCCATTGTACTTCAGCCTGGAAAACAGAGTGAGACTCTGTCTCTTAAAACAAAAAAGAGGAGGCAAAAAGTAGGATGTGAGGATTAGAATTCAGAGGACCTAAAATCAGAAAATATGAATTCAGAGTCACAATTCTGATAGATTTCATAACTGCATTATTATTCTGACAGGCAAATAAACTAACAAAAATAAACCACAAATTTCAAAATGAACAGCTAAAAGTAAATTTGGGTAACATTCTGACAAGGGCAAAAGTTGCAAATAAATTTAACATTCATATTAAATATGCTCATCATCTGTATTTGCCCTAATGAAAATCTGGCTTCTAGACAGGGCTCTATGGTAAACAAAGAAAGGTGGGTCTAAATGGTCAATTTTAATCCAAACTAAGCAAATTCCATTTTAATTAAAATTTTCTAAAAGTGAAGTATTTTTTTCAGCATTCGAAGTCTACTAACATCACACTCTAGACTTTTTTTCTTATGGCCAACTGTGTCTGCTTTCTAAACTAGGCAAGAGAGAATTTTCTAGAGTGAGTCACTGAATTTGCTTACATAAGGCTTTAGATGCTTCTCAAGCTAACTAATGATCCCAGTTAAGATAAAAATTAATGTAATTAAGTTAAAATACATGTAGCCCAGTTGAGATCTGGTTACCACAGAATAAATGGCTTCTAAAAAAATCCTCTCCTATAAAAAGGTTCTCAGACTTTGCCATTAAACACTGGCATCTATATAATGCAGTATTAAAATGGACCCACAGATCTGCCTGAGGTGCAAGTAATGCTGGTTTCATTCTAAATCTCTTTATCCCTACTCCATGGCATAAAGCTATTTTAATAGCTGGTTGATATGGAAACATCCTCCACTTTCTCTCTCAAGAAAATAAAGACGAAGTAGCCAACATTAATTGGTAGCAAATTACTAAGAGTACAGCTAATCCAAAGCTTGAAATCTGCTATATACAATGTTGGTAGTAAAAAGATCTTAATTATCAGCAGACAGCAAGTTTTCAAGTCTTCTTCCAAAATCACATTAAGATTTAATGTTATGCTGCTATATGCTCTATCGTCCAAAAGAAAAACAAGGTGACAATCTTTTTGTAATAGTATATCCTCTTCTTCCAATCAAAACCTGAGTGTCAAGCAAGCAGCAAATACTGGCTGCAACGGGAAAATGGAACTATTATGTTAGCAAGATTAAGGATGACGAAAACTTCACATATTTGCTGAAAACTCCATACACAGAAATTTCGGTCCTTTAAAGTACACAAACATATAGTTTGTTCACAGAACTTAAGATTTAATCCTGTGAATTTTAATTTTGAGATGTAAATAATGGAAAATAATAGTGACCAACATGTAAGCCGGAAATAGAATCTCACACACAGAAAACTTGGCACCAAAACTCGGCACCAAAACTCAAGATTTAAAATAAGAAAAGAAAAAGAAAGTCCATTAACATACTCACGTGTGGTGCTAGAAAATTTAATACGATGCACAGCAGCTGAAATGCGTTATCTTACAGATGCAACCTACATTAACAAGTAAGTTATATAACAAACCATTCTAGCCACAGACACTTAGTGTACTTGCCCTTATTATTATGTACCTGATGTCCAAAACAGCACAACAATTTAAGACTTTGGGCACTTTATGTAGCAGATATATAAAAAGCAAAGCAGGAATTAAGAGCAAATTAATTTAATAATACTGATATAAGGCAGCTTTTAATCTATTCACAGGAAAAATTTATATTATCTCCTAAATATTATAGCATGTAATATAAATAATTAATAATCTGGTCCATTCTGAATGAAAAAATAAGTAACTTTAAGGACATTAATTCTATGCTCCTTGAACATCTTAAAAAAAAAAAAGGTTATGATTTGCTAGGACTACACTTTACCATGAGCAACATTACAGGGAATAAAATAGACCTAGTACCATTATTTTGGAGATTCAAACTGTTACACGTTGGTAGACTAAATGGGGTAATTATAAAAATGTGCAGAAATCAAGAAGCAATTTACAAATTAACTGACAAACTTGACACTTTAGATGTTAAAACTAAATAACCACATATACAATAGCAATAAATAATGATTACTTGTGCTCTATCTCCAGGCCAAAGACTTGGAACTTTAAGAATCGCTTTTGGCTAGGTAGCTCAGGCTAAGTATATCTTCTAAAAAAAAAAGAAAGCTCAGTCCAGGGAAGTCACCATAATGCAGGGTCTTGAGGGGTGGCTCTTATACTGAGAAGGACAAACAGACTGGCACCTGAGCCCATCTCAGCCACACCTGGTGGAAAAGAGACACTTGAGGGCCCTGTAACCAAGGACAGAATTGTAAATAAAAGATTCTCATTTTTAAAAAGACACCTACTAAAAAAAGGACATTGTGATATTTATTGGCTGAAAAGATTAAGCTATCCATAAAATGAATAAAACATCTTTGTAATAAAATGTTTAGGACCAATTAAGAGTATTATTTAGAAAAGTCATTAAAAATATCAATTTCTAGTTATCCACTGTTTCAATAAATGACAAGCAATTTTATCAATTGTTATATATGACTCCGTATTTTATAATGAAAGCTTGTTATTAAAGATGAGTTTTTAATCTGACTACAGCTAAGAAAAATGCACAAATTACTTTGCTTTAAAGCAATCCACTGAGAATCACCTCAATGTTCCTCTATTGTATTAAATATATTATCAATTGTTTCTACGTTACCTTTAGTCACAACTATACATGAAGTCACGAGAGTCCCTGCAATGTAACAGTAAATACGGGCCATGTTTATAATACTAAATAACTATATAAGGATCATAGCCCAAACTAATGGCGAATCTTGTCAATAAACTTAACAAAACAGAAGCTAAGATATTCACAGATTATTGACGCTGGTACCTACACGTGTCGTGCATTAACGTGTATGGTTTTGCTGTCTGAGATCTATTTTCAATATTTACTATAATACAGAGTCAAAGCAATGAAATGGAAACCAAAGGGTTAAACTATTTTGTGGGTTTTCTTTCTTTCAGAGCCTAAATGTTCACATTTCTGATTAGAATAATGTGGTTTATAATTAATCTTTATGAATTACTCATAACACAAGGTAAAACAAAAAAGCTGATATTATCAGTTATTTTGGTTATTATAGCTCTATAGCTTACACTCAACATTTAAGGGTGAAAACCGCATCCATTTTGTTAATGCTGTGAACTGTAGAAGAAAAATTTTTATAATATAAATCTTTAAGAGAAAGTTGATAACAAATAAATTTAATAGCTAAAATAAACGTATAATGCCATGGCTAGCTAATGATTTGCATATAAGATCTAATTTCTAAAAGAATACATGTAAACATTAAGACTGTCCTATCAAAGCATAAATAAGCTAACTGATGTAAGCTGAGCTAAAACAAAATATATTTTAAAATAATGCCACCAGTATGAGAAACTTATAGCAAGCTTGAGGTCTTTAGTGTAAATAGTCCTATTTTACAAGGAACTATCAATTATTAAGTTGCAATAGGCTTTAAAACATAACATTCTCACATCTGCCAAGATGTGGAAACCGAAACCCGGAAAAGCTAATTTTCTTCAGAAACTTTTTGAGTCAGAGGCCTCAAAAGATACTTTAATCCAACCCAAGCTTCTTGTTTTGAAATTAAAACTTGGCAAAAAAAAAGTTTAAAGACCACAGTGACACAACTAGTTAGTGGAAAAGTAGTGGTGGCAAAGTAATGATGCCAAGTTCCAAATCTAATTAGTTAACTGATCTTTCAGTTCAAATACACTCTCAACAAGAATACTGAGGCTGCTTGAAATTAAACCCCCTTCTGTTAGAGATCAACTTAATCCACACAATTTTCCTCACTAATGCCAACTGTTCTAAAAGGCAAAATTACATTACTAATTTTGAAAGCAAAGGTATAGGACTTTTGCCTGCTTATGTACTGCCTTTAAACAAAACATCCTCGACTACATCTTTAGCTGCAAAGAATAAATGAAAGACACTTACTCGATGTGAGCCCCATTCGCCACAAGGGCACTGATGCAGTCTAGGCTCCCAGAGCGAGCTGCCTTGTGAATGGGAGTTTCACCCTCACAATCCTGAAACAACAAAAAGCAAAATATACACATACTCAGAACAAATCTGGCATTTTAAAGTAACGTCATTAGCACAGATCAGAGACCTTCTCATCCTTTGAGATAAAACGTGTTGATCAAGGTCTGAAGCAGGACACAAAAAAATCAATACATGAACAGAGGATGAGAGGAAACCACGAGGGGCAAGTGGTCTAAAATGTTTAGCTACAGGTCAACGACCAAGTATCTTTGGGCCTTCTCCAGTAGTGACACCGTGAATGCTCTCAACAGTGATTTAAAAATCACTTTATGTTGGATCTTAGCACACGTGTGTTTTATACAAACCCAGAATAAGTTCACACACACACACACACACACACACACACACTAAAAGTCATCAAGGCCAAGAAATAGCACATAATAGCTGACATATGTTCTCAGCTGCCCACTTTCCTCTGTGCCCACCCCAATGCTAACCCAAGTCAACATCATCAATGCCTAACTTGAATCTTCTACTTTGAACTTGAAGTGGGACCACAGCTTAGACAAGATGGCCTGAGGCACAATAGTTGATCTATTTTGAGTATTTACTAGAGGGAATATTTACTAAATATTCCCAAGCTATTTTCAGTATTTATTAGAGGAAAGAGAGAGGAACACAAAGGTAAAGCAAAGCAAGCTTCAAAAGAACAGATATAGGTGATGGGGAGGAAAGCAGCAAACCACACTGCCATGTATGTACCTATGCAACAATCTTCCGTGTTCTTCACATGTACCCCAAAACCTAAAATGCAATAAAATACATATATATATAAAGAATGAGATTCCTGCTTCAGAAAGGGTGGGAGGCATGGGGGAGGGGGTGAAGCACACACGGAAACAGAGGAAAGAGAGTAGACCCAGGAAAGCCACTGTGGACATCGGCACAGTCAACCCAGGTCTACATTACACAAATGAAACCTCAAAGGCCATCTTCATAGGCTATCGGCCAAGCAAGAGAGAGGAAAGGCAATCGGACACAGCAATCAAGAGAATGTCATTTCTGGTGGAAAACAAAGACTGGGAAATCCTGGGGGCTCCACAGCAACACTTCTTGAATAATCACACTGCAACCTCACTGGTAGCTGAACTTGGCAGAAGACTACCACAGAATTAGAGATCAAGATAAAAAGGAGTGCAGTGATTGTGGGTCATTTAGAAAACAGTTCATTCATAAACTCAGTAAATAGTTGAGCTCCTTCACCAACACATACTAACTCACAGGAGAAAAAAATGAGATGAGGGCCACCCAAAGTTAAAAAAAAACAGTGGCAGGATAATTTACAGAAAAAGAGTATGAAAGCCTTAAGTGCTTGGTGGAGGGAAAAATGTGCACATTTATTTAAACAAAGGTCTAAAGAGAATACAAAGCAACATAAAGCTCTACACAGAAAGATCCGTTTTTGAAAAGAGAAACACAGAAAACCATGCGGCTATACAGTAAACTCTCTATTGAACTCAGATTTTTTGAAAAGCCAAAACCTAGCCCTATCCTCCTAAAAGAGAGGTGGGAATGGAAGAGGAGCAGTACAAAATAAAGACAAATAAAAATTACATAAAAACATTGCCAGGAAAACGGGAGCTGAGATATATAAAGTTTTGCCGAAAAAGAAAAAAAGCTGCAAAGGGGGAAAAAATGCTCTTTAAAGATATCCTTGGAACAAGATGAAAAAGTAAGGGTTTGTTATTGGGGGGATATCAACAGGTGACAGAGAAAAAGCAAAACTATCAACCTCTGTAGGGAGAATCTTCTTCTTTTTCTTTTTTTTTTTTTTTGAGACAGAGTCTCGCTCTGTTGCCCAGGCTAGAGTATGGTGGCACGATCTTGGATCAATGCAACCTCCACCTCCCAGGTTCAAGTGGTTCTGTTTCAGCCTCCTGAGTAGCCAGGACTACAGGCTCATGCCACCACGCCCCGCTATTTTTTTTTTTTTTTGTATTTTCAGTAGAGACAGGGTCTCACCATGCTAGCCAGGATTGTCTCCATCTCCTGCTGGGATTACAAGTGTGAGCCAACACGCCCAGCCTGTAGAGACAATCTCTAAGGGCAGAGCAAACACTAAAGGCAGGCCCGGGCACCTTGAGACAAGGTAGCCAAAAGAAAAGACACTTAGAGCAAAAAGCCAGATGAAGGTGACCACGCGTCCAGCTCAGCCCAGTCACATAGCAACCACAGCAAACTGAATGATAAAGGGAACTGGGAGCAGTGCCAGAATGCTCAAGACAGGCTGGGCACCTTGGGTTTTAATAAAGAAAAATTTCATTTCTAATCTAGATATGAAAAAGCCAACATCAAATGCCAGCAAAATTCTAGAAAAGGCATATGAAAGAGAAAGCTTGCTAATTATACACCAAGGATAGTCAATATAGACTCACTAAAAACAAATAACATGAAGCTAACTTCATTTCCTCTTGGGGAAACCAAGAACATCGGCCTCCAGACATCATATGAGCTTCGGTAATCTCATAGGCTCACCTTAGAGACTGCCAAGAAAGTCTGCGGTATTAACCTTGAGGAACATGAACTTAGAACTATTAGTAGCTAACAAGCCAAAGGATTAACATACTAGGAACTGGGTTAAAACACAGCATGAACAGGTTCAAAAAATTAAATGCATACAAACAACAAAGGAAAAAGACCTGGATCTGGCGTTCTAAGAGTTTATACGAGACATGAGAGAAACTGTCTACATGGAGATGAGTCAGCAGGTGGGCTGGGGTTGGAGGGTTATTGTGCCCTCAAGATCACTGGGTGCCCATCACAAGAGGCGTCGAAATTCACCCACTACTACATAATAGAGGGAGATGATGTCTGAGATTCGGATGCAGACTCTACATGCTGGCAGACCACAACTACCTAACCTAAGACCCACAAAGGAGAAATTCCACGGTGCTTCACAATGCCAAATGATACGTCCTAGGCACATGGGAGGACTTAGAAATGTCTACCCAGATATTTCAAATGCAGGGAGGGCTGCAAAGAAAAAGATTTAGGATCCTGTCTTGAAGAAGCAGAGTGCGAGAGTGCAGAAGAGGTTTCCAAGACGTGTTATCTAGAGGCACCTGAGAGGAAGGCGGGGGACACAGAAGCACACTTTCTGCCCCCTCTTCTCTATTGGAAATACTGAACTGCAATAAGACACTTTGAAAAGGGGGCTTCTCGATTTACAAAGGTCTGGAAAGCAGTGTTAGACAATTTCTCTAGTCCTCTCTAAATTAGATGCTATGTAATAATTCAATGAAAACTAACATACAAAAATTCTATAAGTTCCATACTAGGTATTAATTACTGCCATTCATGAATTATCCATATTTTACTGATAAAGGAGATTGAGCTACAGACCAAGTTAACGACTTGCCCAAGGCCAGAAATGTGGCAGAAGCAGGAATCAAGCCGACACTGCACTTTCTACCAGGGGACAGTGGTAGGGAAGAAGGAAAGACACAAGGTGATGCCCAGCACCGTAAGGGTACAAAGTAGGTAATTCATAACTCTCAAATTTATGAATACAAGCAACAGAGCAGCAGAGACATCTACATATGTAAAGTCATACATGCAGAGATGGAAAGGGAAGTGATAGCATGGCAACCTGAAAAGTTGTCCCATATCCCAAGTTTCAGTTTAGTAACAAACAGGCCTAAACTCTTGGCCACCCTCCCTTACACTGTCTTTTCTACTTCGCTTCTCTTAAGGAGACAATCACTTACCCCAATCTCCCACTGATTCTTATTTCTCTTAAGGGGACAATCACTTACCCCATTTTCCCATTGATTCTTGTTTTAAATCATGGCTAACAAGACCTTCTTTCTCAATTACTTGCTTCTTAGCTGAGTAGTTGAGTTTTTAGGAGAGAGACTAGCAACTGCTTTATACCTGGTTATCATCAAGGATTGAATCTTGGGAAAGACAGAAAAGCAGGAAGAAGACTTTGCATAAAACAAGGCCTTGATGATTGTATATAGCAAAAGCATTTACAAAAAGGAGAAAAAGAGAAAGGCATAAAAAACAGCTCCCAGAGCCCATGCCAGGTCTCTTAGACTAATCCAACTGCAGCAAAGGATGCCGAGTGTGGGGACCGCTCCAAGTCAGACAACCTACTGGTTATCAGATGCTGCTTGTCTCATGCAACCAAGTCCCTAACAATCTGAACACTCTCATATAGGTGAAATGCCACTGAAAACACATCATGGAAAAAATCTGGCACACTTACGTTCCTGTTTGTATGCTTAATCTTAAATACCAAGTCACTTACTCTTCCCACTTAGTAAATGATACTTAGCTACTTATCTGCATCAAGGCATCAACTCGCATCTGAAGCTCACTTTGGAGCCAACTTAACAGCCATGCTTTTTCTAGGATAAAAGTGTTTTTATAATTATCTGTGGAAATGAGGCTAAGGCAGCTGTGAGCAGAAAGCCAGAACACCTGGGCTCAAGGCCAGGCTCCTGCAATTACCAGCTATAACCTTGGGCACATTACCCTGGATCACAGTTTATCATGAAGTCACATTATAGGTGAAAGCACTCTATAAACAGAAAGCATTCCTGTGGAAAGGGCCTATTATCCTCCACAAACAACTGAAGAAACAGAAATTCCGCTTTGTCCTCAGGTAAAGATATCAAACTCTAATTAGGACCTCAATTTAAAGCAATACCATGTGTATAATTATAACTGCAAAAAGAAAAATCAAGAGCAAACAAAGTCCATCCAGCACTCTTACCGGTTTGTTAATGTTGGCTCCTGCTTGAATCAGCCAGATCAGGCACTGAGGATGTCCCCCAAAGGCCGCAATGTGGGCTGGCGTCTGCGCGTACCGCGTGGTGGAGACATTGAGTGTGGCTCCCGCTCTCACCAACTGCATTAAGCACTCCAACTTCGAAAATAGGAGGAGGGATGAAAACACGCAGACATGTCAGTACCCTATTCAATATTACACAAATAATCTAAATTCCATAATGATGACAAATGGCTTGTTACCAATTTTTTAATAGAACAAATTAAATCACTCCTTCCCAATGCCAAGCAAATTTTAAAAGGCATTTAAAACAACATTTTTCCTTGTCCTTATGAAAAAGACAGTAGGCAGAAATAAAAAAAACGCAAAAAGACTAACATCATACAGATTTAAATATCTTGGTTTCCCTACAGCTGAATAAGCCAAAATCAGAAAAGATTGGACTGCACTGTTCAAAGACTTCTATCAAAATTGTTTTTTGCACAGACTACTCTAAACAAAAATGTAAGAGATTGGTGGGTTAAAAAACTTTGTGTAGGCCAGGCGCAGTAGCTCACTCCTGTAATCCTGGCACTTTGAGAGGTTAGGCGGATCACTTGAGGTCAGGAGTTCTAAACCAGCCTGGCCAACATGGTGAAATCCCATCTCTACTAAAAACAAAAAAATTAGCTGGGCATAGTGGTGGGAGCCTGAGGCAGAATTGCTTGCACCCAGAAAGCGAAAGTTGGAGTGAGACGAGATCACGCCACTGCACTCCAACCTGGGCAACAGAGCAAGTCTCCATCTTAAAAAACAAACAAACAAAACTTTGTGTAATGCTGGGTATGGGGGCTCATGCCTATGATCCCAGCATTTTGGGAGGCCAAGGCGGGTGGATCACCTGAAGTTCAAGACCAGCCTAGCTAACACAGTGAAATCCCATGTTGGGGTTTCAAAAATACAAAATTACAAAAATTAGCCCGGCATGGTGGTGCATGCCTACAATCCCAGCTACTCAGAAGGCCGAAGAAGGAGTATCAGTTGAATCCGGGAGGCGGAGGTTGCAGTGAGCCAAGATAACTCCACTGCACTCCAGCCTGGGCAACATAATAAGACCCTGTCTAAAAGAACAAAACCCCCCACAAACTTTCTGTCACTACAACTCCTCATAGTCAAGACTATTTTCTATAGTGTACACAACTGTGCACTTTTAAACAAGTCAGCACTAAATACTCACTGAATACTCAACTAAGGCCCCATTCTCCACATTAGCTTTTTTACTCTTTTCGAATGATTTATATTTCAAAACCCTATGTTTAAAAAAAAAAAAAAGCTTACAGCATAACCAAGCAATGCACCTGGTGGGTGACTAACACAGCAAGTTAAGGCTTTGTGGCCAGGCACCAATACTATGCTAGCCTCTGGCTAAAATATAGTTCACCACGTTCAACAAATTTAGCAAGTGCCTACCATGTGCCAAGCAATTGTTCAACACATGTTCTCTAACCCTAGACTACTCACTCGTTTTCTCTCCACTCCAATCACAATGCAGTTAGGGAACAAGCTATGCCTGACTGCAAGCAATTCTCAAGAGCAGGGACTGCACCTGAAGACAAAATACCTAATATCCTCCTTTCCCATCTCTCTTAGCACTTTAAGGCTTTCCTTGCAAAGGACGGGTGGTATCAGTAAACACTTCTGTTAGAAGAAGAATACACATATTCAAAACACACTCTTCAACCAACTTGGATCTGGGGGTAAAGGCTGATGTCTATTTTTATTTACTGCCTTTGTTAATTTACTGGGTGAAAATGAAAGTATTAACTAGTGATAAGATGAACAGGTCTCAAATCAAAAATAAAACGGATGAAAACCACTCGGCGTACCAAAAATCATTTACTGAGAGCTCGCTGGGCTCAAAGCTGTTACCCTTAGGTTCAACCTAGAAACCTGGATTTGGAATTCTGGAAAGATACTGTTCAATACAGTATCATAAAAGGTACAATAGAGATTTTAAACAACGTTTAGCCCTCTGGGAACAAATGAGTCTTACCAACGTTAGGGATCTTGTGCATCACTAGCACATTTCTCAGAACACTAGCCTGAAACCGGTGTAAAAGTGCAACCGTTAGCAGAGTTGTGGGGGAAGCCTGGACTGGAAAGCTGCAGCCCTGTCCTGGCCTGATTTCTGTCCCAACAGCTTCTCAGAAGGCAATGTCTGGACACTGGACAGGGGCTTTCTAAGGCCCCTTCCATATCTAAGACCAAACAGCCGTATGATTCAGACAGCTGGAAACAATGAAGTAACTGCTTCTAGTTACATTTGATGACCCAGGTAAAGCTACTGCTCAAAGTTCCATGGAAGTAGGCTTTTGAAAAATTGTTTTTTTTTTTTTAATGGGATAAAATACACACGAAAAGTTACTATTTTAATGTAGTTACGGCTATTTTAATCCCCAGAGGCAACTGGAGGCACCAATGGGTGAAATATTCTAAGTGACCATCCATAACGAGGCTTTAAGCATTCTACAGATTGTTGTTCACTGTCACCCAGTATAGTGTCATTCTCAACCAGAGAAAGGATGGAATCCTAAAGGTTGGTGTAAAAATAAACCACAGCAAGAGGCACTCTGAAGGGAAGGAATCCTCAGATTACTGACTGCCTCGGGAAATCTATTTCAGGCTGCAGGCAAAAGCTCAGGGAGGCTTTCTTACTTTTGTTTGTTAAGAAACTCATTTCCCCTGAGGACTTGTTTTCTCCAGCAGCTACCACAGTCGCACAACTTCACAGACAGTGCCACAGGGACCTAACAGCCCTTGAGGGTTAACCTGCTTCCCCACCCCAACGTCAAAACTCCTTTTCATTTATTTTACTTAAAGAAACGTAACGTTTCCTTTTTTTTTTTTTTTTTTTTTGGGACGGAGTTTCGCTCTTGTTACCCAGGCTGGAGTGCAATGGCGCAATCTCGGCTCACCGCAACCTCCGCCTCCTGGGTTCAGGCAATTCTCCTGCCTCAGCCTCCTGAGTAGCTGGGACTACAGACACGCGCCACCATGCCCAGCTAATGTTTTGTATTTTTAGTAGAGACGGGGTTTCACCATGTTGACCAGGATGGTCTTGATCTCTTGACATCATGATCCACCCGCCTCGGCCTCCCAAAGTGCTGGGATTACAGGCGTGAGCCACCGCGCCCGGCCAACGTTTCCAATTTAAGAGGAGAATCAGAAACTGTTTCCCAAAAGATACAACTGCGTTGTGAATGCAGCACCGGGGGTAGCAAGATAAACTGCAACTCCACCAGCTGGTAACATTACGATGGCCAGGCCTTCTTAAAATAACTTATTTCACGTTATCCTCTATATATTTCTGCAAAACCATTTAACCCCATCTCATAATTTACGAGGAAAAACACTATAAATATCCCTGAATTTTAGCCAATTTAAATATACTAATCATTTAAAGCCACTTTCGAAAGGCAAGGTGAAATCTCCGTTTAAGACTTAACTGAGGCCGAGCGTGGTGGCTCACGCCTGTAATCCAAGCACTTTGGAGGCCAAAGCGGGCGGATCACCTGAGGTCGGGAGTTCAAGACTAGCCTGACCAACATGGTGAAACCCTGTCTTTATTTAACAAAAAAAAATATATATATATATATATACATACACATATATATATATACATATATATATATATACATACACATATATATATATATATATATATATATATACATACACATATATATATATACATATATATATATACAGACTTATCTGAGCAAATACCAAGAAACTGCGGCTATCCAACCTTTAAAAACTTAAAGCAACACTGTGTTCCCCAGAATTTTCAGTTTAAGTAAAAAAGAGAGGAACGTAAAGGCTCCACGGGAAGAGAATTCTGCTTAACTTAACGACTTCTGCAGCCATTTAGATCCAAGATCAACACAACCGTCACTAATTTTCCTGAACCCGGGCCAGCTACGAGCCTTAAAGCAAACCCAGAAGCTGGAGAGCCGGTCTCCACCCCACACGGCTGCCCGGGCCTTCCAGGCCGACCGGGGCGCTAGCTCCTCGGCTGAGCTTGTCCGCAGCGCGGGCCTCGGCTCCCGGTGAGGCTGTGCCGAACCAGAAGCTCGACCGCGCCTGGGCATTCCCCTCGCGCCTAGTTCCCGCAGCGCAAGTGCTAACGTCGCCTCCGACCCCAGGCGCCGCTCCCCGGAAGCCCCCTGGGCGACGACGCGGCCTCACATCCCGCTCTGCGAAATCACCCGCGTCCCCGGCCCGGCCTGGAGGGCCCGGCACCCTCGGTGCGCAGGCTCCGGCCGACAGGCACCGAGACTCCCAGAGACCGCCTGGTTAGAAACTTGCCACGCGCGCAGCCGCACATGCGCCCGAGGCCCCTCGGGGCGCAGGCGCCACCGACCCCGCTTCCGCTCCGCGCTCCAGGCACGCCCCGCACCCCCCGGCTGCCCCGCCGCGGCCCTCGAGCCCGCGCGCTGCCGCACAGGCGCCACCGACCCCGCTTCCGCCCGCGCTCCCCGCGCTCCCCGCGCTCCTCGCGCTCCCCGCACCGCAGACCAGCTTTCCCCGACCCCCACTGGATAGCCAAAGAAAATGGCGCCTTAAAGCGCTCGCGCCCACCTTGCCGAAATGCGCGGCCCAGTGCACGGGCGTCCAGCCATAGAAGGAGTCCTCAGAGGCCAGGTGGGCGCGCGGCGTCTGCTGCAGCAGCGAGCAGAGCGTGGCCAGGTCCCCATCGCGGCAGGCGCGGTGCAGCGGGAAGCGGAGCGACAGCAGCTCCTCGCTGGAGAAGCCCGCCTCCACGCCCGCGCCCGCTCCCGCCGCCGACATGGTCCGTCACCGGAGAGCGCGGAGCTCGCTGGCCGAGGATGCGTCGGGGAGGACCCGAGAGGTCGCCGCCGCCCGAGCACAAAGGAGCGAGACAAGCGCGGCGATCGCGTCCCACAGGCTGCCGAGCCGAACGCGCTCTGAGGGGGCGGGGCGGGGCCTGGAGCGGCCGGGCGCGGGGCGGGGCCTGGCCCCGAGGACTACTGGAGCAGCCGGGTAGGGGGCGGGGCCTGGGCCAGAGAACGCCTGGAGCCCCCGTGCGGGAGGCGGGGCCTGGAGCCGCGGGCGCCTGGAGCGGCAGGACAGGGGGCAGGGCTTGGGGCACGGGACGCCTGGAGCAGCCTGACGGGAGGCGGGGCCTGGAGCGGATGGGGGCGGAGTCTAACCCAGAGGACGCCTGGAGCAGCCGGGTAGGGAGCGGGGCCTGGACCAGAGGAAGCCTGGAAGCAGCCGGGCAGAGGGCGGGTCTTGCCCAGAGGACGTCTGCAGTAGTGGGTTAGGGGGCGGGGTCTGGAGCCGCCAGCGTTCGGAGCAAACGGGCACGGGGCGGGGCTTGGGCCAAGAGGACGCCTGGAGCGTTCGCGCAGGGGGCGGGGCCTGGCTGGGCCGCTGCCTACCACGGCTTCCGGAGCTCGAGGGCACGGGGCTGAAAGTGTGGGGGCTCAGGGACGTAGAGCGGCTGGGCAGCGGTCTGAGTGGGGCTGGGGGCCGCCAGCGCCGTGCGTCTCGGCCGCACCCCGGTTGCGGACCGTGGTGTCTCCAGCCTGGGAGCCGGTGCGGGGGCGCAGGTTGAGGCTCCGCGGGTCCCCACCCCGAGCAGGTGGGAGCTGGGGGTCTCCCCAAGGCCCTGCAGCGCGCAGTGAAGTTGTCCGGTTAATATTTATGGAGCGCCTGCGGGAAGCAGGACTTCTTATTAAAATCCGAATATCAACAAGCCCTAGTTCCTTAGGGAGCAGGAGAAATTCCTCGGCTTTGTCGGAGGGACGCTTTCCTCGGGACCGAGTGCAGTGGGTTAGGACTATACGTTTGCAGATTTAAAAGATAAGCCAGAATACCACGCAGAGCCAAAAAAGCATGGCTTTTTGTTGAGAACTGTGTAACTGTAAGGGAATACAAAATTCCCTGTTTCAAATGACAGCGTCATGGGCTTTATGACATAAGTAATTTTATTCTGATTATGAAAGCATCAGTAATTTCACTATTGAGGAATATCCACTTAATGTTTATGAAATTTCCTTTCCTTCTAAATATGCAGCCTTTTTAAATCATGTCTTTTGTTTCATTTTTATGTAGTGTTTTCCCCTGTGTAAATTTCCTTACGTTTTACAAAATTCTACGTCACAGAAATTGAACTTTAACAAAGCAATTAGATGTCTAGGGAAACACTGATGCAGGAGAAAGCATATTGTAGCATTGGTTAATAAAATAATAAATAGAAACCTAAGATTTAACAAAGGGTTATTGTTAACTAGTGTTATAAACACCCAACACAGATATCTATTCATGCAGCAAACATTTGTTGAGTGTACTGCTGAATGAAACACACCGAGAAACACTCTATAGTGAGAAAGTATCAGATATTTCAGTTCAGTGAGCAATTGCTAATGAATGGAAAATATGAATGACAAATAGAATCTATCTTTTCTCAAGGAGCTTGTAATCTATTAGGCAGGAAAGAATAATAATAATTCAAGCAATACTTTTTTGTTTGGACCAAAAGGGTAAGAATAGGCTATAAACTCATTTCAGGCTTTGTTTTCTCTAGAATTTAATCCTTCTTTTCACGAGCCATATTGATTTTAATCTAATCTCTTTAAAATATGTCCCCCGATAATGACTTCCATCTTAGGAAAGAGGCCTCCCATTTAGTTAAAGGACAGGAGTGTATCTTGTCCTCCATACTAATTAAAGGGAGGGATTACTCTCTAGGCTACATTCTGGGAATAGTGAAACAGAGACACTGATAAGCCAAGGAATTTGCCCAAGGGCAAACTGGATGACTGTGGCAGAGCTTAGAATAATATCCAGACCTAGTTTCCAACCCACTGTTAGATTTTTTTATTTTTAACTTTGGAATTTATTTTGCAGAGAGTCTTAAGGGCCAGGAAAATGAAATAGATGATAGTTGTAGGAAACTTAGTGTACGTCTTTCCTCACTTCAGATGACTGGGGTTTTTTTTTTAGGATTATTTAGACTGTATACATATTTATGTAGCTGTATAGAAGTAAACTGACAGATCTTATAACTGTGGCAGGAGGATTGTTGATGGGATGGTGCCTACTGACTATTCAAAATGCCAGTGATCTAATTGGTTGGTCACCCAGGTTTTGCCCAACTCTTATAATTGTCAGAGGCGTTCAAACCAGAACAACTCCATTTTAAATGGGGCTGGGTAAAATGAGGCTCAGACTTACTGGGCTGTATTCCCAGACAGTTCAGGCATTCTAAGTCACAGGATGAGATAGGAAGTCAGCATAAGATGCAGGTCATGAAGACCTTGCTGATAAAACAGATTGTAGCAAAGAAGCCAGCTAAAACCCACCAAAACCAAGATGGCAACAAGAGTGACCTCTGGTCATCTTCACTGTTACACTCCCACCAGTGCCATGACACTTTACAAATTCCATGGCAACATCAGGAAGTTACCCTATATGGCCTAAAAAGGGGAGACATAAATAACCCACCCCTTGTTTAGCATACAATCAAGAAATAACCATCAAAATGGGCAACCAGCAGCCCCTGGGGCTGCTCTGTCTATGGAGCAGCCATTCTTTTATTCCTTTGCTTTCCTAATCAACTTACTTTCACTTTATGGACTCACCCTGAATTGTTTCTCGTGTGAGATCCAAGAACCTTCTCCTGGGGTCTGGATGGGGACCCCTTTCCTGTAACATCTTCCTGGCGACCAGAAAGGGACTATATAATGTGGAAACCCTTGACTTAAAGGCCAACTTTGGGTAAGTGGTGGGGTCCAGTAACATCTTTCTGGTAAACCCCAAAGGGATGATACTGAGGAGATCCTCCACCTGACCCAAAAGAAATAGACTGCAGCACTGATCCACTGACAGGGTAAGTGGTGGGGCACCCAGCTAAAGAATGGGATTGAGTTAGAGGCCCAATTTGGGGGAGTTAGAGTCTCCCCTAAGACAGAGTGGGTTAGAGGCCCCTCTTAATAAAAGGCAAGGACGCTTGACTGACCTTGGGTTACCGGCCCCTCAGTAAAGTCTCTCTTGGTAAAGTCCTTTCGGCTAAGAATGGTTTTGGCACTATGGGATGTTAACTGCTATTCTCTTTGGATAGATCTGCCTTGCACTCTTTGCTGATGGCTGTGGGTGACAGGATTAAGCATGTACAGGATCGTGGGACGTGGTGAACTTTTTCCTCTCTAAAAGGGAAAACTGGAGAGCTTCTGGGACTATTGGAAAAGATCTCTTTTCTACTACTGACAAGCGGCCGCCTGAACTCTGGATTCAGTGTTGGCTGCAATTGGCGAGTCTTTCTCTGGCCTCCCCGAGCACCCTGAGGGCTGCCCTGTCTGTGGAGTAGCCATACTTTTACTCCTTTTCTTTCCTAATAAACTTACTTTCACTTTATGGACTCACCCTCAATTCTTTCTTGAGTGAGATCCAAGAACCCTCTCTTGGGATCTGGATTGGAGCCCCTTTCCTGTAACATAATAATTACCAATCTCAGATTTTCTTTGGAACTCTCATTTCTAAAAAGCTCCAAAGAGAAAAGAGTAGATTCGTAACATTTTTTTCATCTGATGAGGCAACCATACAGGAGCCAACTTAGCCATTTGAAGATCTAATCCAAATCCATGAAAGAAAACAGGAAAACTCGAAACTCAACGTGCTTTAAAAAAAAGTCCAAAAACCCTGCCTTTAGATTGGATTTTTTTTTTTTTTTCCAGAAAAGGATTGCATTTTGTGAGAAATTGTGGAGGTGGGCAGGGTTCAGTTGTGTGAATGACACAGTGATTCAGTGTCTATACATGTGACGGACATTGATGAGTATCTCTTGAGTGCTGTTATTATGCCAGGAGCAGCGCACCCTGAGGGATGTGGGGTTGTAGAGAAAGGCAGGCCCCAGCTGATGTGCCATACTAAGCATGCCATGTGAAGGAGTGGCTTTTTAATTTCAAAAAGTTTAGGAACCAATGAGGGGTTGTGTTGTGCCATTTAAGGGAGGGAATGATGGCTTGGGCGGAGGGTGGGGGGACTCAGGTCAGACTTGCAGCTTGGCTCTGGGGATAGAGGTCAGGGAGCCCACTGTGACGACACCTTCAGGACTCGACGTGGGCCTCCGAGCCTTGCTCTTTTCTCCTTGGTCCCTCCTCCCTTTCTATCCACATCCACCATGCTGGCAGGTCCATCTTTTGAGAGGGTAGATCTGCTTAAAAATTGATGTAAGAACAGTTTCCAAAACTTGTTCAGATACTACCTGCATGTGGATTTTTTTTTTTTTTTTTTTTTTTTTGAGACAGGATCTCACTCTGTGCAGGCCAGAGTGCAGTGGCACAGTCATGACTCACTGCAGCCTTGACCTCCTGGGCTTAAGGGATCCTCCTGCCTTGGCCTCCCAAAGCACTGGGATTATACATGTGAGCCATGGCTCCTGGCCCTATGTAGATTTTTATATCTACATAAGATTGATACTTTTTCTTAAAACAGGTTCACTTTTTTAAACTTACCCCACTTCATTTACATCCTCTTCGTTAATAAAACATTAGTGAGTTTGCGGTGCTAGTTACATTTTCTCTCTACCCTTCCTTTTAAACAAATCGATATTAAAATGGTTTGTTCTGTGAACCTCCCAAGTTGGCTCCTGCCTTTTGAGGCTTTCAGACCACACCTGGGAAAATGCTCCGAGGAAGCAAAGTCCCAGAGCAGACCCTTGGCTTAGTGATGTCCTTACAGCCAGGGCTGGCTGCCTGTCTTTGGAGTTCTTGTTATGTCACTACCCAGGGCTGTCCAGGGCGCATCTTTGACACTAGGGCTACCTTTGCCTGGAAGGCTGCTCCCTGCCCTATCCCAGAGTCCACTCTCTTTGATCTGGGTTGAATTACGTTCCCCTCAAATTCATGTGTTGAAGTCCTAACCCCCAGAACTTAGAATGTGGCCTTATTTGGAAATAAATTGCAGATATAACTAGTTGACATGGGGTCACACTGGAGTAGGGTGGACCCCTAATCCCATATGATTGCTGTCCTTATAAAAAGGGGACATTTGAACACAGATGCAGGAAGACCATCACATGAAGATGGAGGCAGAGATGGGGGTGATGCTTCTACAAGCCAAGGAACCCTAAAGACGACGGCAAATCACGAGAAGCCGTGGATAGGCCTGGAGCAAATCTGTTCCTCACAGCCCCAGCAGGAACCAGCCCTACTGACATCTCTGTCTAGGCCTTCCATTTCTGTTGTGAAGCCGTCCAGCTCCAGAAAAGAATACACTGGTCCTTGCTGGGTTCCACCTCACTTGCCCGAGGCTGGGGAGACCCCAACCATCCCCTGGATGCCCCTTTGCACTGACTCTGTTTACTTCCCTTTCTAAAGCCATTTCCCACATTAGGACAAGAGCTTCCATCCCCTGCAGGCAGGCCCGGGAGGACTTTCCAGGTGTCTAGCCTTGAAAATGTTTTCAACTGATTCCTTAATTTCCCCATGTGGGTACCATAGAGGAAAGTAAGTCCCTGGTGAGTCATTGCTGTTATTTAAGTGGCTTCTGCTGCTCTTCCTGGGAGGGGTGCTGGTGACCCCACTATGCTCTCCTCCACCAGCAGTGTGCCCAGCCCCCAGGCAGAGGCTACTGGCCCGCTGGCTGGACCAGGCCTTGGTCCCTGGTGTGACTCAAGGGATTTACATCTTCCTCACCCTTCCTGAAATTGCCACTATTGTATTTATTCCGTAAGCGCATTCTAGAAACAAAGCATTTACCCTGACAGGATTTCCTGCCACCTCCAAATGAAACAATTTAAAAGCTGTACAAGGAAATGTCACTCCTTTTTCTGATAATGAAAGAGATCGATTTTTTAAAAATGCAAACTGTGGAGAGGCGTGCCTGAGACTGCACCCCCTATTCATAAACTCTTGTGATTAGAAAAGTTGTACTGGCCCGAGCATAGAAAGTCAACACCAAGACAAAAGCATGCCAAATTTCAGGGTCTTTATTGCCGGCGGCCACGGAGGACTCGAGTCTCTCCAACCTGTGGCCCCGAAAGGAGAGTGTCAAGACATTTTATACCCGTAAAACCACTTCGGAGTGAGGGTGAGGGGCGGGGGTGGGGGTGCGGGGCTTCAGACATTCCAAGGGCTAGTGGATTCAGTAAATCACCTCCTGGGCAAAGATGAGGGTGAGGGGCTTCAGACATTCTGAGGGCCAGGGGACTTTTGACATTCTGGTTGTTACTTAAGTGGTTCACAAAAGTCAAGATAAAGATTTGTTTACACATTGTCTGGGTAGGGTGGAAATCACAGTCCTTAATTACTTATTACAAGTCGCAGGGGCCAAGATGGCGTGGGTTTGGACTGCTTGCCTGTCACATCAGGGTTACGGAGAGCAGTTTCAACAGAAAGCCGAGGTATGGTTGAGGTATGCAGTTTTATGGGGCTTTTACCATGTCACAGAAACATCCCAGAGATTTGCTTTTGGGGGTTTTAAGTGTGGAAGCCAGCGTCTGTCTTCCCAGCTGCCTCCTCTCTGCTTTGGAGGGGAGCTCTTAGTGAGCCCCTTACGCAGGTAGAGGAGCCTGCTCTGAAAATATTAAATACTCTGGCTGATGCACCATGTTCTGCTGAACAGTGTCACAGACGGATCTCTGTCTCTCTCTCTTCCTCTCTCTCTTTCCATCATTACTTTTTCCCTCGAATGTAGGAGGTAGGATATGGCCCAGCCCATATTAAGTCCTTAATACCTATTTATTGAATGACATGAAATTAAAATGGAAGACTGAGCTTCAAATCAGTTGATAGCCCCCTTCAGAAAGGGAGAACACACCACGGAGCAGGGATCTTGAATATAAAGAATTTGAACATTCTAGAATCTTACTAGGCATCCTGTGTCTTGCTTTTGTATTGTTAAAAGAATGATTAGCAAAATCAGTTTAAATTAGCAAGGGTGATTACCCATTAAAAAAAATAAAGGAAAGAAAAGTCCCCAGTTCTACTCCGAACCAAGGACGGGAAGGAAAAGGAAACAGGCTGCCAAGCTGTGGGGGGAGCTGCTGGGGGAGGATGACCTGCAGGTGATTTCCTGACATCTTGACCGTTAATTTAGCAATCATGCATACAGTCCTTGAAAATGTTTTCAACCAGTTCCTTAATCTCCCCATGTGGGTACCATAGAGGAAAGTCCCTAGTGAGTCATTGCTGTTATTAAAATGGCTTCTGCTGATCTTCCTGGGAGGGGTGCTTGTGCCCCCTCCCAACACACACACATGTTCTCCTCCACTGGCTGAGTCCCCAGCCCCCAGGCAGAGGCCACTGACCCGCTCCTGGCTGGACCAGGCCCTGGTACCTGGTGTGACTCAAGGGATTTACATCTTCACGCTTCCTGAAATTGCCACTATTGTATTTATTCCATAAGAACATTCTAGAAACAAAGCATTTACCCTGATAGGAATCTTCATGACCTAGGATAAAATAATCCACCCAGCTCATGTTATGAGAGGAGGTGGATGTCACCTTAAAACCACTCATACCTCACAGCACAAGACTATGTGATGTGGGACAGCCCTAGCTGTGTAGAAGCACCAGGGCATGGGATGCAAAAGAGATCAAATCACTGGTGTCACAGTGTGGGCTCTGCCTAGCAGAAGAACACTTGATCGATTGCCTCCCTTTATCCCATAGCATTTAGAACCTTCCACAACCCTTCCTGGCTCTTCCAAACTTGAGCACTGACTCTATAAGGTTGGGTAAGTGTTTTATGGAGCAGCCAGATTCTGGGATGGAAGCTGGAGAAAACAGCACACACAGCTCTGGCCCTGGCACAGAGCTTGAGGGTGACTGCCGAGACAGTTTAATTTCTTGTTGTGACAGCCTTCTTTTTCTTGTCCCTGTTTCTGAAGGCTGGGTTGAAATGAATATTGCAAAGAATATTGTATAGGGTTCCTCTGCTGGAGAACGGGTTTCCTTCCTGCCCTGCCTTAGTTTCCTCATTTATTAAAAGAAAACAATAATTATCCTGCCCAGGTAAAGGTCATTGTGAAGGTCAGGTGAGCTTTTGGGTATGGAAGGATCTCTAGACTGAGAACATGCTGGGTACTAATTGCTCTCCCAAGTGCCTTTATGAATTTACACTGCCAACAGCAATTCACCAAAATCCCAGTTTCTGATTCTTTCTGATATTAGGTATTGCTATTAGAGTTTTTGTTTGTTTTGTTTTGTTTTGCTTTTTCTTGAAGGCTAAATTGCAGTGGTAATGGCTGCTAGGGGCTTTGTTGTCAGAAACTAGTGCCACTGAGTGCAGGCCAGCTGCTGAGAGTGTCCCTGGTGCCTATTGGGCTCCTGTGCCCTGCTCCTTGGACATGGTGTCCTGGGGGACTGTTTCACCTGGCGCTGTCCTCTACGTTGGCTGCCAAGGCTACATGGTTCTGACCTGTGGCTGGGGAGAGTTCATCCCAAGTGTAGGATGGATGTTTCCTATTTGTTTCCGAATTGCGTGAGCATGCAGCCTGTGACTTTGATCCACGCTTACTGCAGGTTCGATGTGCTAGCAAGGATGTGTCCCTACACAGAGAATAACCAGGACCACAGACCCAGAGCTGCTCCTGTTGACTTGGACATGCATCCCCTCTGCTTCACTCCAGCCTGACTCCGAGGAATAGTGGGCAAGAAGAGAGGAAGAATTAGAGTTCAAACACACTCAAAAATCTGTTCCTTGTGGATTTGACTTTAGTGTGAAAGCAAAATGGAAAAAGATTTAGAAGAAAATGTAGCAAAACATCTTTATGACATTAGAGGAGTGAAGGATTTCTCAAGAAGACACACAAAGCATAGCCATAAAAATGTCCAAATTTGTCTGTAATTAATAATATAATGTCTTTCAATTATTATTAATTAATAACATCTTTCAAAGCAAAACACAAGCTATAGAACAAGGGAAATTGTAATTAATTAAACACATACCATCAAGCCTCGCTTAACAGCACAGATACATTCTAAGAAAGCGCCATTAAGTGATTTCCTCATTTCAGCATCTTAGAGTGCACCTCCACAAACTTGGATGGTACAGCCTATCACACACCCAAGGCTAGATGGTGAAGCTTGTTGCTCCTAGGCTACAAACCTGTACAACATGTTCCCATACAGAATACTGCAGGCAATTGTGACATAACATAGTAAGCATTTGCATATTTAACATACCTAAACATAGGAAAGGTACAGTCAAAATATATGAATAGTATTATCATCTCATGGGACCACTATTGTGTATGCAGCCTGTCATTGACCACGTGGTTGTATGAAGGGTGTGACTGTAAAGCATTTGTATTCGGCATATAAAAAGAACTTCTACGAATCAAGAAGAGAGAGATGAACAACAGGGGCAAAGGATATTGACAAGCAATTTACTGGAAAGAAACATAAATGTCCAATAAGCAAGATGCTCAGAAATCAGTAGTTTCTCTGCCCTACTGAATGGATTAGTCCCCTCTCCAGGCAAACCTGCTGTGACACAGTGGTTCTCTAACTTAAAACAAGCGCATGCTCTCATCACAACCCTTTCTAGCTCCTGCCCATCTCTCCTCTGCCCTTTCAAAGAATTGTCTGCAGCCATTGTCTCCTAAGCCCTCCTCAACCCTTTCCAACTGGACATCAATCCCCAGCACTCCCAGGGATAGCCGGTGAAATTCATCACAGTCCTTCAAATCTGCCAAACCAAATAGTCAATTCTCTATCCTTATCTGGCTTTGTCTTGCTGCAGCATGCAACACGCCAACCATTGGCTCCTTTTTGAAACACTCTGTTCTGACTTCTGTAACACACCAACTCTCTTGTTGGACCTCAAAATGTTCAGAGAACCCAGGACTAGGTCTTAGAGCCTGCGTTCGCTGTATTTTCTTTTTTTTAAATTGTACTTTAGGTTCTGGGGTACATGTGCAGATCATGCAGGATTGTTGCATAGGTACACACATGGCAATGTGGTTTGCTGCCTCCATTGCCCCCCAACCTACATCTTGCATTTCTCCCCATGTTATCCCCCCCTGACTTCCCTAGCCCTCCACTGTCCCTCCCTTGCCCCCCTGTAACAGACCCCAGTGTGTAATGCTCCCCTCCCTGTGTCCATGTGTTCTCATTGTTCAACACCTGCCCATGAGTGAGAACATGCAGTATTTGATTTTCTGTTCTTGTGTCAGTTTGCTGAGAATGATGGTTTCCAGATTCATACAGTGCCACTATGAACATGTGTGTGTGCATGTGTCTTTATAATAGAACGATTTATA